AAAAAAAAAAAAAAAAAAAAAAAAAAAATCCCCATGCTTCACCTATTCAGCTCTTCATCTCCCCAGGCCCACTCCTCCTGAAGCCCCAGCAATCACTAACCTACTTACTGTCTCCATGGTTTTGCCTTTTCCAGAATGTCACATAAGTGGAACACATAGTATGGAGCCCTTTTCAGACTGGCGTTTTTCATTTAGCAATATGCATTTAAGAAGTATCCACGTTTCCGCAGATTTGATAGTTCATTCATTTTCATTGCTGAATATTACTCCATTGTATGGATGTACCACAGTTTTGTCAAGACATTTGTTTATTGAAGGGCATCTTGGTTTCTTCCAGTTTTTGATGATTATAAATTGAACTGCTATAAACATTTACATGCAGCTTTTTGTATGGACATAAGTTTTCAAATTAGTTGGGTAAAAACCTAGGAGCACAATTGCTGAATTATGTGAAAGAATATGTTAAGCATTGTAAGAAACTGCCAAACTGTCTTCCAAAGTGGCTGCACCATTTTGCATTCCCACCATCAATGAATGAGAGTTCCTGATGCTCTGCATCCTTGCCAGCAATTGGCATGCTCAGTTTTTAGTTTTTAGCCATTCTAATAGGCATAAAGTAGTACCTTATCCATGTTTGAATTTGCATTTCCTTAATGAAAAGTGATGTTGAGTATCTTTCATATGTTTATTTGCCATCTTCTTTGGTTAGGTGTCTGTTTAGATCTTTTGCCCATTTTTTAAAATAAGTTTTTTGTTTCCTTATTGTTTAGTTTTAAGAGTTCTTTGGTATGGAGGACAAATTCTTTATCAGATATCTACTTTGCAAATATTTTCTCCCAGTCTGTGGCTTATCTTTTCATTCTCTTAACAGTGCCTTTCACAGAGCAGAAGTTTTTAATTTTAATAAAGCTGACTGAAATTTCTTTTATAGATTGTGCTTTTGATGTTACATCCAAAAACTCTTCACCATGTTTAAGGTCATGTTGTTTTTCTCCTACTTTTTCTTCTGGAAGTTTTACGGTTTTGCATTTTACATTTAAGTCTATGACCCATTTTGAGTTAATTTTTGTAAAAGATGTAAAGTCTGGGTCTAGGTACTTTTTTTTCTTTTTTGCATATGGGTGTCCAATTATCTCAGCACCATTTGTTGAAAAGACTATTCTTTCTCCATTGAATTGTCTTCATGCTTTTGTCAAAAATCAGTAGACTGTATTTGTCTCAAAATAATTTTAATCTGTTCATGAAACCAACAGTAGTCAATAATATTTTAATGACACAAATTTAAAAGGCATAAATGAATTTTATGAAATGCCACCATTCATTTGATAATCTATATTTTTAATAATCCATTATGAAACAACCATGGCCTGTATCTTGCCTGCTTCTTTAACCTCATTTCTTTGTGTTCACTAATTCCAGTCTCCTGGCAATCTTTCTGTGATCTCTTTAAATCACATCAAAGCTGCACTTGCCTTAGGGACTAAACACTTTCTTGTGGGAGACTTTCAATCCAGTTTGCCTTTATGGGCCTGAAGGGTCCTTGAAGTTCATGATCTTTCCTTTTCTCCTGGGAAAGGAGATAAAATTAACAAATTGTGCCTGTCAAGAAAGTTATATCAATATCTAAATGTGCCTTTCCACCAGATACATTATTCATATTGCAACAAAGACAAGAACATGTAACATTCATAAAATTCCTGTGGGAAGTCTCTTCTAGATCTGAAATTATGCTGCCTAATTGTTTACTGTTTCTATTTGGAAAACAGAAAGGAATTTGATCCTGAGTGCTGCCTCAAATGAGGTGAGGAAACGTCATGCCTGGCCCATTGTTTCTACTTCAGGTGAACGCTGGTTCAGAACAACCTTTGACAAAGTCACTCCTTTATCCAAGTGAGCAACTTCAGCCTGAGGACCAGGACAAAGTAGCCATTTGCTGTAACCCACCCGTTGGCAGAGAGCTGAAAGCTATCTAGGTAATATCTGAATATTGTTTTGCGTGAGGAATAGAGGAAGCTTAAAAATGCTTTGACTATTCTCTGTCTCTTGGCATCTGTGAACTTCTATCTCGTGTTTAAGAGAAGCACGGACACATTTAGCCCAGAAAGTGGTCTGATTTTGGCTGATCCTAAAACGTCTCCTCCTGGAGTGCTTTTCCCCAGCCTGGTTCCTTCTCATCATTCAGCTCTTATTTGAAATATCATCTGACAACATTATTTTTAAATACTACCCCTTGACCTAGTCGCTGCATGTTATTTCCTTCTTGGTCTTATTTACTTTCAGAAATTATTGTGTTTATTTATTTTTTGTCTTTCAAACTGTGCCTCCACCCTTCCTTTAGAATTTAAGTTCCATGAGGGCAGGAGCCTTGGTTATTTTTGTTATCACTTAGATCTGGAACACAGTTTCTCAATGAAGATTTTTAAATTATTGTATAACAGAACAAATGAATGAGTGAATGAATGAGTGACAGTAGATTATGAACAATGCATTTTTTCCTGCAGAGTCTAGAATGATTGGGCATTTCAATGTATTAATGAGAAGAATGTTTCAAAGAGGCAATGAAGTTAAAATATCTTTCCCAGATGACATTTACAAGGCAATGATAATGATCAGTTTCCTCTCTTCTAGTGAAAAAACGGAAACTATTACCTAACTCAGGAGACATCTGAACATTTCAGTACTATCTCAGAAGCCATACGTCTCAAATGGCAGGACAAAGATCCAGTAAACAAGATCCAGAATTCAATTTGTGTTGTGACAAAGTTAACATGCAATTCTGCAGCACATTCAAAACATTCACCAACTCTTAGGCATCTAACAAAAGAGATAATCTAAGAATGGGGTAAGCAGCAGGAATAGATTCATAGATTCTTGCAGTGTTTGCACTGGTGGGTACAATAGCAAACCAATGTTCTCAATCCCACATTTTAAGGAGCAGGAAATTGACCCATGAGGGAAATGGCCTATCCAAGTTAATACAGATATTTATGGGTGCCTCTGGGAACTGCTGAGTGCTATGGAATAGGTGGAATGCTAAAAACAATTTATTTACATTGTACCAAATAACCAGTATATTCAGTAGTAACAACTACAACAACAAAAAAATCAACATCATCATGGTAAGTTTGCCTCTACGTAGACCAAACGGTCACTTGTTTTGGTAGAGCTCTGAATCAAGCTGAATAGGAAAATGTTCCAAACACTCATGATTTTCTACCATAATAAACAAGTCAGAGAATGCCCCAGCAGTGAGAACTGGACTGTCTCATCACTCCTATCTAATTATAGGAGTGATTGCAATCAAACAATTAAGGATGCATAGATTACTTCTTGAATAAATTTTTATTTCTTGGCCTTAGTAAAAGAAAAAAGGTTTTTAACAAATTCTATTTCCAAGATTACTAGATATATCTTTGTTTTGCTTTTTGGAAGGATACTCTCATAGTGGAGCGATTAATTATTTTTTAGAGACATCTCTTCATTTGTAATAGAATTCAGGGCCTGGTATTCTGAGATTTAGGCAGTTGTGTCCAGGAAAAGTATGCCAATCATAGCATAATTAGTTAGCTGCAAAAAAAGAAAAAATGAGATCTTACGAACTGTTTTAGGAATCTGTCATTCCTATGGTGCAAGTAATCCCAGACATGATGAGGCGGACTTGGTAAATCAGAAGCCCTTCTCTCTCCACTCTGTATTTATTCCATTTTTACAACAGCTTTTGGTTTAATTTAATACATTATTGTAGAAGAAAGGGTCCATTAAACAGCTACAGAAAAGTGAGAATTACGTTCCTTTTAGGTTTTTTTTTAAATTAAGCATTCAACAGTAGAATCCTTTAAAAATGATATTCAAATGATTTTTAATTACCACAAAGGCATTGAGATGTTAATATACTTTATATAAAAGAGAGGGATACTATTTCATTCGTCCTTTCCTGCCACAAATTCCAACTCTAAGAAAATTATTTCTTTTGATCCAGTCTGATAGCATGTAATAAGAGAACAATAAAACATATGGCTCAATTACCACCGCTTCTCATCAAGCATGAATTAATGAATATCAAATTATTATTAATTGTTTTTTCTGGCTCCCTCTCCATAGGACAATGATTACACATTTCTGTATTTTAATAAGCATTAGTGTTTAACACTTTGTGGACCAGTGTCTAAGAGGAACAGATGCTTGAAATCATTATACAGAAGAATAACTCTACATTTATCAACATTTAGAAAATACATGATTATCTTTTAATCTCCCTAGTTTGTCAGTTTTTTACAACTGCCTTAAACTCCCTTAGAATTCCACCCTCTCTCAATGTTCCATATGCTTTCCTTTGAGAAGCAATTGCTATGTGCATATAAAGTAGTTTATAAGTGCAATGTCTCAATTTTAATAATAATAATAGTTCCTCACAAGATTACTGAATTTTCAATTCCTTAAGAAAAAGCTCTTTAAAAATCAAAGTTATAGATTGAGCAGTTAAAAAATTACTTTAAGCAGCATGGCACAGAATATAATGAATTATGATCATATAACTGACATATCAATGTCAGTGAGTAATATTTATAGACACTGTACAAGAAGATTCTGTATAACTGACAGTTCATTTATTTTTATAAGCCATCTGTAAATATAAAGTGCTATGTAATAGGGATAGATATAGCATGCGAAAGAACATGTCTTTGTAGTCCATAACTTTCATTATTTCTCATAGATCATTTACGAACCCAGATTTTGAAATGCATGCAAAGAAAACCTGACAAATTACATAAACACCATGTCATATGATTTTACCCATTACCCATAAATGCAGGTCTTTCTGTTTTTAAAACACATTCTATAAAACTTGTATCAGTGATAAACTGAAGGATGATACCAAGGTTAAATTGTTCAGATATCCTATCTAGTTCAATAGGCCTAACAAACACAGATTCAGGTATGTTTCTAAAGAGCAAACAAAAACTTGCTTTAGAATCTGATAATTTTGGAGCAGAAAGCGACCTTAGAAATCATTTTGTCCACTGGCCCTCATGTTACAGATAATAGCACAGAAATCTGAAAGGTTTAAGTGATTTTCTGAGGTCCATACAACTTTATACGTTAACATCTTTCTGCCAAACTTTATCTTTCTGCCAAAATTTCTATCAACATTACTTTTGTACATAAATGAAACATATCTTGCTCCCATGACAGTTTTATCAAGACTTCAATAACGTCTGTAAATCCAAATTCTTAGGGAAACAAAGGTGAGAAGATGGTAAATTTGTCTATAATGGAAACCGTGACACACAGCCTAATACTGAGCAGAGATGGACCTGGTGAAGGCTGGCAATGCTCACTGCCATCAGAAGCGTGCTTCCTTTGACACTGGGTGCTAGAACCACTTGAATTTTTGATCTCTAAATCTAACCAGATACCAGATGGTTCCCTTTATGTATGTGACCTTAGTGGAGGCAATTAGATTATTTATGCAATAGCAGAGTTGTTAATTCTATACCAGAGTCAATCTTTGGTGTAAAAGCTTTTCTAGATTATATGTTCTTACAACAAAAATTTTAACTCCTTAGTGAATGCTTTCATCTTGGTTTTCATGTGCCAGAATTACTGAATCCACTTTGCTGAAAAATTTAAAGAAAATAAGTTAGATGTACAAATTCAGTACAAAAATAAGACTATAACTAAAGTTTTAAAAATAAATAATTACTCATCAAGGGGGTAGTGGTGGGTTAAGCATTTTACTTTCACCTCCTACTGCATTCATCACTGTGGCATGGCTTTTCGTCATACCGTGAATACAAAGTACCAATGCCCTGTGCTCATATTTATGACATGCCTGAGAGTCATGTCTTGACAACTTAAATATACTATAAAAATGCACACCGGGAAGAAAACACAAAGACTTCTGAGTGCTTTGGTAACCACATCTCCTAAACCGTATCATGGACTCCCGGGACTGCAAGTTTTAGAGCTGCACCATGCACATCAAGGCCCCTTGATGTAACAATGGATCCTGATAAGGCTGCTCGATTAGGAAAAAAAAAAAAGAAATATGAGAACTGGCTGGGGAAAGCAGAAAATAGAAGGCCAAGTATGAATATAATTAGCTTTGTTCTTGTCATTGATTCTGCAGCCTGATGGAACATGGCTTTCTGAATATTTTTCAGAGTATTTTCCAGATGTAGCCTCTCGGTACCTCATTAATATCACACATTTGTCTCTAAATTCCATATTTTGGATCCCGTGTAAAAATCGCAAATGCTCCGTTTTCATTCACCACCAGCAGGCAACTTGCCTTTCACACAGTGCTGTTGACCAGCTCCCCAATATCATCATGGTTATTCTACCTACTTACTATTGAAGCAAAAATTAAATGTTGATACTAGCTTTACAATGAAGTTTCATAGGATTTTATATTGCTAGCTTACTGTGCACTGTACACATCTTTTAAATCAACATTTACAGCTTTCATGCTAAGCTTATTGAAAATATGAGTTAAAAATGCAGACCCTTAATGTTTCTTCTCACAACATTTATGCTAATTAGGTATCCAAATTATAGTAAAGTTGGTCTTAAAGGTAAAAAAAAATACTCAAATGTTATATGCAATATAGAATTCTACACCATTAACTCTAAATTTTCCGTTTAAAAATAACATTAATATAAAATTGTACACCATTAACTCTAAATTTTCTGTTTAAAAATAACATTAAAAGGCATTTAGTATAATAACCAAATTACATTTAAAAAAAGTATATTCCAGTGCAAATGTAAAGGTCATTCACAGAAATGCACTTCAACTCCACCGATCAGTAGAGCAAAGAAAATCTGTTTTTGTTTGGAAAAAATGGAAAATTTCCTAAAATAAATGACTTTTGCTTAGTTGTATCTATGTCTGGTCTGACATCAGAAGAAAATATAAATGTTGACTGATTTTTATACCATAAAGTGAAATGCCACCATGTTATCTGCAGCTGAATTTTTACTATAATTAAGAAAATACTTTTTAGCTTTGAGATCTTTCATCAATATTAAAAGTTCATTAATGTTAGTGATGGTTCCTTACAGAGCTTAACACTTACCTACAACTTGAGAGTAGCAAGATTCACAATGTATTGTCTGTTTATAAATCCAAACACTGTCACCGGCTTGTAGGTTTTCCAAAGGTTGTTTGCATATTTCACACTAAACAGAATGTATAAAGTTTACATTATATATGAAGTTTAGTTTCTTGGCGTAACAGCATTAAAAAAAAAAAAAAAAAAAAAAAAAACTTTTGGGGGGCTTCCCTGGTGGCGCAGTGGTTGAGAGTCCGCCTGCCGATGCAGGGGACACGGGTTCGTGCCCCGGTCCGGGAGGATCCCACATGCCGCGGAGCGGCTGGGCCCGTGAGCCATGGCCGCTGAGCCTGCGCGTCCGGAGCCTGTGCTCCGCAAAGGGAGACGCCACAACAGTGAGAGGCCCGCGTACCGCAAAACAAAACAAAAAAAACAAACAAAACTTTTACTTTATTCAGTACCATCCTTCATAGCAACACTCAGATGAAGCCTCAAGAGAACCCAGAGGGAAAATAAGAGTATACTTACTTGTCTGTGATCCACACACCGAACTTTTCAAATAAATCCTCTCATAAATCTCTCTACTATGGAGGTGTGCATTTCAGGGCATATATACCACTGAAGTCGCTACGTAACTCACAACAGAGTAGATATACATTTTCAGAAATTGGTTATGCCAAAGACAAGATCACCACTGGATATCGTAAACAAAAACACAAAGTGCATTTATTGTTTGCTTACTAAGGGAGAGCTATTCTGTCCGGGTATAGCGTCATTGAGCAAAACGAACTTCTGATCCTATGCAGGGTTTAGGGGGAAGTTTGTTTCAAGTTGTGTTGGTTAAAGAGGAAGGAAAGGGTTGACATCTGCCTTAGACCTGTGCTCACTGGAGCAAGTTCACTGCCAACTGGCTGACTTTCAAGTTCACTGACGCAAATTGTCATAGATCAGTTTGACATGTTTAAGCCAGTTCAGATGGTTCTCTATTATTATGGCTATAGAATAATCTGTCTTTTCCTAGGAGTGTGGGGACATTTTTATTCTCAGTAGTATTTTATAATTAAATTGAAAATGGAAATAAATCATCCAAAATATAATAAATGGAAATTATTCCTATTTACCAAAAGCAATAATCAGGAGAATTTTCTTCTTTTAAAAAACTTTCTGCATAATAATTTTAAATGAGGAGCTATAGACTAACTTTTGTTTCATTGAGTAAACTTAATAATTAAAAGGAAATTTTACTGTCATAATTAAATAATTATGAAATTTTCAGATTACATTTTATATAGAATTCTATATATGAGGGCCTTTTGGATTTTATTTGCTCAAAATGAGGCATCATATTTCTTCTTGCTTTGTGTCACTTTCTGAAGCTAATTTAAGGAGAAGCAATCAATTGTCAAAGTATTACATCTACTTAACTGAATTAGATAATTTGTATCAGTCATAGAATATCAGCACTAGAAGGGACCCATAGATTTAGGCTGTGGTTCTTAAACTGGCTGCCTGTTAGATCTATCTAAGGAGATTGTAAAAATACCAACGCCCAGCAGTCATCTCTAAGATTCTTGATGTAATTGGGGCTGGTCCCAAGCATTCTATTTTTCTCCTAATCTCCCCAGACAATTATAATATGCATCCAGGGTTGGAAACCACTGGTCTAATCAGCTACTTCATTTTACAGATGAGGAAACTGAGGCTAAGCTAATTTAGATGATGTCCAAAGTCACATGGCCTCAATTAGTGTCAGTTAGAACTCCAGCTCAAGTCTTCAGGTTCCTAGTTAAGTGCTCACCCAGTTACACCAAAATCTATATTGTTGACCTACGGAATGTTTTTGTGAAAAGTAAAAGAAATAGCATATAAAAACACAAACTGTGACGCATTCTACTATGTACGCTTTATTATTATACTAAGCCACATTTAATTAGAATTAATCATGCTCTCAAAAGCAGACTGAGTTTCAACTATTGTTAAGCCCATTGGTCCTAATTTCATAATGTAAGGAGATGCTAGCTTTCTTCTCAACAATTTCTTTGCCTTTTCAGATTTCATTATATATTTTATGTAATGCATGATTTATGAAAATGCTGCAAAAACTTTTCTAAAGAGAGCAAGTGTTTATCTTTTTACAGAGTTCAATCTGTAGGGTAAGAGTTATAAATGTGTCAATAATCAACTTTTAAGCCTAAAGCCAAGAGAGTAATTATAAACCTTGGAGGTTTAGGCTGTAGAACTCTGAGAAATGTTTAAATAGAGCATTATTAATGTGCATGACAGTGTTTCTGAAAGCTTTAACTTCATCTCATATATTTCATTAAATAATTATCTTTATTCCAATCATTATGCAATTTTATATTGAGTTAAATGCAATAAACATAGCCTTACCTTGAAGCAAGTGGAATGGCAGCAAATTTGTAATTCATTTAAAATCATCTTAGCTTCTGTGCCCAAGGGTTTTCGACAGTAAGTGCACCTATCCATTTCAATGACAGACCTATAGAGATGTAAGCAATTAAAAATAAATTTGTCATGATGCAAAAGACAGATGTATTCCCCATAAAGTCGTACGGAAATGATATGTTAATTGTGTTGATACTGTAGTAAATTGTGTAAAAATCAAGGAAAGCTGAGGATTTACTTATCCTAGGATAGCAGGATAAGGGATTGATTCTTCTAGTTATTTCAAAATGATATCAAAGAATTAACATGAAGGAAAGTCTCAGATTATTAATTCATTAGCAATCAAAAGTGCATCTGGGCAGACAAAGATGTTCACAGTTTTCTAACTGAACTAGGTCATAAGTACCCCTTGAAGCTAGAAGAGGGTTTTGAATTATTAATGTACTTATATCATAGAAAATTTATGCTGCAGATTAATATAAAAATTTAACTCTCAAAACATTCTATAGGACAAAAATAGAAATCCATTCAAGAATGTGTTGGTGAATTCACAAATGATGGATAACCTAGATTCTAGGGTCTAGAGTCACTAAAACGCTCCCCTAGGCCACTTCTCTTGGTGTCATTGTAAGACTCAGAATATTGGGGGCCCTTTCATGACAAAAATTCTCCAATATGATATAATCTCACCACAAATTTGATGGGGAAAAAAGAGCTTTGCTATTTACTTTGGAAAAATAATGTTCAATAATAAATAAATGATCAGCAAGTCCAAAAGACCTTGGGTCACGCCAGAGTCTTAAGAAAGACCAATAACTACTTGATTCTTTTCCATTTGGAAGGTCTTAGGACAGTCTTAATTAGCACCTTGCAGAGTTTACTAGTCTCAGGGTGTTAGCAAACAAGCCTGAAATTTCCAAAGTAGGATACATACCGGGGTGGTGAAATAAAAATAGCTAATATTTGGGCTTCCCTGGTGGCGCAGTGGTTGAGAGTCCGCCTGCCGATGCAGGGGACACGGGTTCGTGACCCGGTCCGGGAAGATCCCACATGCCGCGGAGCGGCTGGGCCTGTGAGCCATGGCCGCTAAGCCTGCGCGTCCAGAGCCTGTGCTCCACAATGGAAGAGGCCACAACAGTGAGAGGCCCACGTACCACACACACACACACACACAAATAGCTAATACTTAATAGTGCTAATATACTTAATATGTGCAGTGCATTTTCCACGCACTTTGCTTTCCACGCACTATCAACTCGTTTATTCTTCATAACATCTCTGAGAAGCAGGTACTCTTATTTTTATCATTATTTTACAGAAGAGAAAGCTGAGGCACAGAAGGGTAAGTCACGCAGCCAGTGAGTGGCAGAGGCGGGATCTGAATGAAGGCAGAGCGGCCACAGAGCCCTATGCTACCTCTGGGCCTGCTTGTGAGACTGACTGGGCTCGCTGGGTTAGAAAGAACTAGTCATGCCCAGAAACCACAATCGATCCTGTCATTGAGTGCAGGACTAGAAGCAGAGAGGAGGGAAAGTTGAGGGGAGGAGTGGGTAAGAGAGGAAAGGGATTGGAGTAGATAAACCTTGTTTCATTTTATACTCTCAGTCATTCTAGTAATCTCTTCTTCCCTTATGTACATAAATAAATATTTCCCTCTTTCAATGATCTCTCTAGGTACTTGCTTACATATTCCGGGCAAATAGTTCCCTATGCATTTTTCACATATATGCATATGTAGGTACCCACACACTTAAATTTCCCATGTTAGACTGTGAGCACTTCCAGAGTAAAAACTGCCACTCTCTAGCATTCTTCCATTCCAGAGACACTGAGACAGGAGCTGGGAATATAAAGAAGAGTGAGAGAGTCTCCTCCAATGAGAAGCCTTCTTTCCACTAGGGTAGCCAGGTGTGTGATTGGATGGTCACCACATATTTATGGATGTGTGACAAGAGTTAGGAGAACACAGCCAGTGGAGCAGCTTATCCCTGGGGTGAAGCAGGAAAGGCTTGTCAGCATAAGTGCCATCTGAGTTAAAGCTTGAGGGTGAAGGAGCTCTCAAGGGGAGCTCAGTGAGGTGGGGAGGGGCGTGATGGAGGGGTTCCAAGCAGAGTGAACAGGATGTACCAAGGTGCCACACAATGAGGGGGGCTGGAGTGATTGAACATCAGTCAATATTCAGCAGGATCAGGTTCTGAAGGCCCATAAATCATGTACAGAGGAATTTGGTATTTACCTTGTAAAGGGGCACTGGTCACGTTATGGGATTGATGTGCTTAGGTAAGAACTGTGGGGATGCAGCTAATTTCACACAATGATCAACAGAAAAAGTTTGCTGGACTAACCAGTTTTAACGGAGAATTGACTTTTGCTCTGATTACTAAAAAAGTTTCAAGGATCACTTGAGGAACAGGAGTGAAATTCTTCACTTCGAGAGCAACACTTTAATGTAGAATGCTTTTCTTCCTTAACAATAAAAATATGAGCCCAGGGAAAGCTCTGGTGTTGGTGTTATCCTTATTAAGATGATACTTAGTCAGGAATTCTCTGGTGTTCCAGTGGCTAGGACTCCATGCTCTTACTGCCAGGGACCTGGGTTTGATCCCTGGTCATGGAACAAAGCTGTGCCTTGTGACCAAAAAAAAAAAAAAAGATCATACTTAGTCAAAGGTCTTTTCAGAGCATTATGAAAAACCTAGCTCTGGTGTTTTGGTTATCTAAGCAGTACTTGTGGTGCTCCTATAGTCACATCAAAGAGGTGTGACTTAAAGGCAAGACACTAAGAAGAGCCTTGGTAATTGAAGATCTTAAAAAAAGTGACAAAAAGAGGATGTAATTCTGATGCCTGGCCCACCTATGTTTCCCTTAGTAAATGGAACATAGGTTTGTTTATTCAGGAATAATTTATTGAGTATCTGTTAGGTGCCAAGGACTGCATTACAAGCTGAGGCTGTGCATAAAAATAAGATATGGGGGCTTCCCTGGTGGCACAGTGGTTGAGAGTCCGCCTGCAGATGCAGGGGACACGGGTTCGTGCCCTGGTCCGGGAAGATCCCACATGCCGCGGAGCGGCTGGGCCCGTGAGCCATGGCTGCTGAGCCTGCACGTCCGGAGCCTGTGCTCCGCAACAGGAGAGGCCACAGCTGTGAGAGGCCCGCGTACAGCAAAAAAAAAAAAAAAAAAAAAAAGATATGTCGTGACCCTCAGTGAGCCATATTTCCACCCCCTGCAATACAGAAATACCTTCCATAGAATACCGGACATTTGCATTAAGCTGGTTTCCAGTGGTTGGACTGAAATGCTAATTATTTTTATTTCCTCCGCTGGAAGTCTGCAGGCCACAGTCTCAGGAGTGTCACCTATTTACCCGACTGAGCATAAAATGGTAAAAGAGAGTAATCAAGAGCAAAAACCTGAGGTCAGTTTACCGGCACTAAATTGATGCTCACCCTAACCTCCTTCCTGGGAACTGAGCATGGGCCCTAGTGGGTCACAGCGGCACATTCACGCAGCTGTTTGTAAGGTGAGCTGGCTTTGGAAAACCGCAAGGAGGGAGGGCTGAGGGCACGGTCTAGGGATGCAATGAAGCCTAGATGCTAATAATGTGGCAGTACTGGGGACTCCTGGGATCACCAACAGCAGAGACACTTGCCTGGGAGGCAGCTGTAAGGCACAGAAAGCTCTACTGGAATAAAGTACATCAAAATCAAAGAACAACAGCCAGGAAGTCAAGGAGCAAGTTCCTAGATGCAGAGGTTGCTGTTCTTTGTTCCACTCATACGATCACCAATATAACCGCTGTCAGGAATGTCATCTCCAAGTTCAATGGACTACAAGAATGTGTACATATATATTTCAGTGCTATATACATAATGAAGATATGTAAATATATATTATATATAAATACATATACGCATACATAATAAAATGTATATTTATAAAGTATGTACACACATATATTATCTATAATATATAAAAATACATATGTTTATATGTGTGTGTATATACTTTTATGTACGGAAATACAGACATACTCACCTATCTGAAGTCGAATAAATGGTTTGTATGTATTTTCCAGAGATACTCTCCTGATATCTATCCTTTGGTGATTTACTAGAAACAAACACATATGGACATGTGAGAATTGGGCTGTTCCCCTGATATTGAAGTATATACCTCTATGCAGGCAAGGAAGCACACACACACCCACTCACACAGCCTCATTATTATTATTCTTTGGGATGTTACAAGCCAGGACAATGTACTGACTCTTTTTTTTTTAAAATCTGGAGAAGTATTGATATGCAAGAAACCTCCAAGTTGACATAAGTTGACATATTCACCAAGATAAATAAAGAATGGGGCAAGGAGAGTGCAAGAACAAGTGTAAGCAGGAAAAGCAGTTATTGTTTTTCATGAAGTTTATACTTGCACCTCCCTTATTTTTACTAAAAGAAAGCTATCTGTAGCCTCACATAAAGAATATACACAAAGCACGAGCCAGTGCAGGCAAATATAGACAGACACCATTCACGTAGAGAAACACTCCTGAACTTTTAGAGGAAGCTTTGGAAGTTTTTATATTTGCTTGAAAACATCCAGGAATCATTTAGAATGAAAGCAAAAATATTGTAACTTTTAAAAGTCCTCTTTGTTCCCTTTCTGCTCCAGTTTGTAAACGTCACTTTCTCCTGGAGACAAATGAAGTTTGCAGTGCACTAACCAGCTGACTGTCCATAACTGCTTCCCCAGTACCTACACTACCTGGGAGCATATTAGGACCAGAAGCAATATGTTCCTATTATTTCATACAGTGATAGCCCTCACTTGGGATTTTTTAATGAGAAATCCTTCTCTCCCTCCAAACTGCCCGTAGGCAGACTGCTGTTAGAAATAGAATCTACTTTACGGAACACATAGCCCACAATGCTAAATAAAAGTTCGCACATATTTATGCCTGATACATATAAAATTATTCCCATTTTATTGGTCAGAAAATTGAGACTTGAATTGAGACAGAAAACTGAAGTTAAGTAGTTTTGCTGAGGCCACATAGTCAGTAAATGACAAACTAAGATTCAATCCCAACTCTGATTCTAGGGCCTCTGGTCTAATACATACTGCACTGTCGGTGTAGATTTTAGGGAGAATTGGATTAAGCAGCAAAATCAAAGTTGAGGTTGCATTTTACAAGGTAACTTACTTTGGGGTTTGAGGAATCCCTTTTGGGGGGAAGGTTGCTCAAATCGAACGCACCTCGAATTTCTGGGAGCCCCGCCCCCATACTCTGCTCTCTGGCCTCTTTGAAATGGGCGATGATTGACACACGCGTGTGTATATCCACATCTGAATGCCCCACCATTACCCTACAACACAATTAGGCCAACTCTTGTTTTTATACTCTGCAAAATCGAATGACTTGTGAATCCCTGACCTTGTGTGACATTTTCCTCAACATCCATCACATCAAGCAGCAGATTTTGTGGGCCAGAGCTTATTTACTAAAAGTTATACCCCTTATTTCAGATTAGAGGTAAACAACAGTCGATAGAACCATTTAATTAAAGTGTGACTCCAAATTAGCATAGCAATACTTGTGTAATTTTATAAAGCTTATTATGGGCATGTATGTTTATGTGACAACTTTCAAATAACTATCCTATTATGTATACACGTGCTATATTAAAATATTTTTTAGTCCATTCAATGAAATTGTATGATTATTTGACAACTACTTAATAGTGGAAAGATTATAAAGAATTATATATTTATTTATATAAAGAACTTGATATACTCTTAAACATTCTGCTATTTGAAAAAAGCAAGCATACCCTAAAATAATGGCATTCCTTCTTAAACACAGATTATTTCAAAATTATAAAATATATATAGCAAAATACTTCAAATAAATTTCCAGTACCTATTCTCCGCATACGTCCTTGTGTACACAACAGTATCCTTTGGTCCTGCATGCCTGGTTTCAGCATTGGAGCTGCAATACAAACCATTTTACTTCATGTTTAAAGTGTGTTTACAGGATAATCAAATTAACAAGGCAATTATCCAATCCAATGAAAACAATAATGCTCATATAGTCCTTCTAAACTATTACCTTTAAAATACGAATGTTAAAGTGGTATCAATCCATTTCTGCAAAATTTATTTATGTCTCCCATTTTGTCTTAACTTCCAGAAGTACCTTGGCCTACTTCCAGAATACTATTATGAAAATCGGTCACTCAATAAGTCTGTTGTACAGCACGATGATTATTTTGAATATTCCTGTAACATGTTTTAGTGTCTATTTCTCTGATGTCCCATTCATATTTCCAAACCATTGCTTTCCCCACAAATCTCAAACAAAAAGTGGACCTTAATTAACGATCATGATAACATCTGATTTAATGAAACCTTTAAATCTACTTAAAGAATGTCAATGCCAATGTCTCAATCATGCTTTTTAAAAAAAATATAGACTTTTTAAGGAAAAATCACAGTTTACACTCATTATTCATAATTGACAACTTACCAGTGACCAAGATGTTTACTCAACACCTTTGTATAAGCCTGCTTAGCCACTGGTAAAATTAAAAATTTCTGCATTTCAAAGGAAGGATCAGGTTGTATGTGGATGTTTTCTTTAAAACACAGAAGGAGAAAAAAAAAAAAAACAGAAGGAGAATAGTCCTGTCAGTTGTTTTATAATTGACCACAGTACCTGAGCGTCTTCTGTGCTTCGTAAGAGTAGGCAGTGGTTCTAGAAGATGGGCTGATTAAAGCCTCAGTAGACCCACTAACTTGGCCATCTTGCCTGAGAAAGCAAATGCAAATATTTGGCACTTAAAATCAAGGCCACATAGAAGGTTTTTGTTTTATTAAAATTCTGTTCAATGAACTTTTAAAAATATACAGTGAACCTCTTTCTTGTTTGCCTGTTTTCTGCACAGATACACAAATAGAATACATGTACGACTTTACTCCTCCACAGAGACCACTATCTTACCTTTAGGAATCATCTACAGGCATGTGTCACATTATCTAACACTAAGACAGAATACTTTTTTATCAATACTTTTTTATCAGATGGTAGGAACCATCTGAAATTGGTTCCCGTAATATTTTCACAGCAGCAGTGCCATCTTAGAAAGTTTTTCATGTACAACATATCTGACAGTTTATCAGTTTAATGAAAATTATCCAGGGGTTCCTCTGAGAAATTCCAGTTTCCATTTTGTTTTTAATGTAAAACAGTACTTTGAAGATTGCAAAAGAACTTTGACCTAGATTTCTGCTAATCTAAAAATGTCACTATGCTTAACAAAGTGCAGGCATATTTGCTTTTTCCTATGAGACAGAGGAAAATTTTAATGCAGGAGTAGTGAAAGCTTTAGCTCTTTTTCCTCCCCTGTGTTAGTAAACTCTGATATAGGAGAGACATAAAGACCAAGAGGAGGATTTAGATCTTGATCATGATTTATCATTCTTGACTGGCCTGTTCCTTCCATTTCCAGGTAGCTCTTAAAGAAGAAGAAAACATCTGTTCACATAGTATCAACTCTGGCATACGGAAAACCATCTTCTAGTTTTAAGACAGATATTTCACAAAACAGATGTTTTACAGCTGAGTTAAAATGACGCTAAGTAATGAGAAAGTAGAAGATTTTCTAATACAATCATTAGAATATGTCATTCCAGAAAAATGAAACTAGCTGTGAATTGTTTGGAAATATTCAAATCATATAGTATATAATACAAAACCCAATTTTAGCAAATAGTTTCAAAGGACAAAGGTTGTCAATGAGTGTGAAATGTGTCTGTATTGTCCTCAGAAAGATAAAATCAAATATCACCAATTTGCAAAATCTGCAGATAGGAAAGTGAAATAATTTGTAAACAGTTCTGATAAGGATTGAACTGTGTCCTGCCAAAATTCTTACGTTGAATTTGGTTTAATTGGTTTGGCGTATGGCTTGGGCATTTGCAGTCTTTTAAACCTCTCCAGTAAGTCTCACATACAAGTCAAGATTGAGAACCACTACCTTAGAGGCAGCCTGACATCTTACCCAAAAGAGCACTGGTTCTCAAAGTGTGGGCCCTGGATTAGCAGGTGAGTCTGATATAAATAAAATGTGGGAACCAGTGCAATAGAGAACTCTCCACCAAACTATTCCTTAGATGCCTTGAATAATATTCCTAAAGAAGAACTTATGACTGACAATGTTTTTTGCTTGATGGCTTTATTGTTAAGACGTTACCCTTCATTGAAACAAATTGCTGAATTGTAACTTGCAATCAACGGTCACAATTTTGTTTCTTAATTAAATAACTCCATAAACTATAAAACCAAATATTGTGTTGGAACTTACAAAATTCCAAATGGAATTACACTTGAGAAAATGTTTTCTGCGGTGGAAGTTCACCTTGAAAATTTAACTATCTAGAACCTTCATACACTGCTAGTGAGAACATCAAATGGTACAGCTGATTTAAAAAACAGTCTGGAAGTTCTTCAAATGGAGTTACTGTAGGATTCAACAATTTCACTCCCTAGGTATTTACCCAAGAGAAATAAACACACTCTACACAAAAACTTATATATGAATGTTTATAGCGGCATTGTTCATAAGAGTGAATTACAAGCCAACAGTGGAGACAATCCAAATGCCCATCAATTGATAAATAGATAAACAAAATGTAGTACATTCACACAGTAGACTATCATTTGGCAATAAAAAGAAATGGAATACTGAGACATGCTACAACATGGGTGAACCTTGAAAACATTATTCCAAGTGAAAAAAGCCAGTCACAAAGGACCACATATTTTATGATTCCATTTATATGAAATGTCCGGAATAGGAAATTTAAAGAGCCAGAAAGTAGCTTAGTAGTCGTCCAGAGCTAAGGGGTTGGGGGAAAATGATGTGTGACTGCTACTGGGCATTGGGTTTCTTTTTGAGGTGATGAAAATGTTGTAAAAGTGATTGTAATGATGGTTGTACAACTCTGTGAATATACTAATCAGAAAGCATGTATCTATGTGGACATCCAATTACTATACAAAGTGAATACATTCATAAAGTAAATAAAGTAAATCAAGTGTCAGTTTAACAGATTGGCCTATGACTCTTATTTAGATTTCCATTGTCCTATTTGACTTAACATTGGCAACTTGACTTTAAACAGCATAAAATAATTTCAACTGATAAATACCCATGTCACTGCAAACTTTATAAATCTCTTTTGCATGAAGACTAAAAGCTTAGTAAGAGTTTACCATTTTGAACTGTTGTATGTGATAGGGTTTACTTCTATAAAACTATCAAGGTTTTGAGCTCTTGTAAAAATTACAGGTTTTAAATATACAAAAAAAAGTCTTATTGGTACCAAAGGTGATAGTGGAGTGGGGGGGCAGGAGATAAATTAGGACTTTGAGATTAACACATACACAGTACTATATATAAAATAGATAATCAACAAGGACCTACTATATAGCACAGGGAAGTCTACTCAATATCCTATAATATCTATAATGGAAAAGAATCTGAAAAAGAGTATATTATATATATATATATATACATATAACTGAGTCACTTTTCTGTACACTTGAAACTAACACAGCATTGTACAATAACTATACTTCAATAAAAATAAATAAAATTTAAAAATAGCAGAATTCTCCTGTGGAAAAATAAAGAGAGGACTTGAGGCCAGGATACCTCTCTAATTTACGAACTTTCTGCACCTGATCAAGTCTCTTACTCTCTGACCCTCAATTTTCTTTCTGTTAAATTTTTACCCATTTTGAGAGTCAAGTAAACTTTCTTTTCTGTAGCCAACATTATATGGGTGCAAAATTGGGCCCAGAGATTTCTTTTTTCCACTTTTTTTTTTTCCACGTGAGAACTTTTATTACAGTTGTTCTTTCAGGGCTGGGACAGTATCTACATTTTCCATTTAATTTGGAGACAGATCCTGTACAGGATTTGGATAGAACTGAAGAAGAATGAATAACATCTGAACACAGAACTCAGGGATGAGCAAATGATTTTGCAGTGGTGGTTAAGGCCTCCAGACATAGTAACTGACTGTGATGATCACCATCCCGCTGGAGAGACGGGGTGCATTTGTGAATGTACGTGTGATTGTTGGGTTATGTTAGGAAAGAGGCACAGATGAAATTGCAGGAAAGTAAAGGAGAGTGTGTGCACGTTACAGCCACGGTGTTTTCCATCCCACAGCCTCTTCTACACAGATGGCCACAACCACACCGCCTTGCTGAAGGAGGCCAGACCTTGGAAAGCTAGAGGAAGGTGAAGTTACGAGGAAGGAGAGGCAGCTAAAGTTCTTGGTTATCAAACAGCTACAGAGCAGAGAATAAGGAAACCAATAGGTAGAGGGAAGAGCAGGAGAAAAATAGGCAGCAAAGAATAGGCAACAAAGGCAACAAAAATAGGCAACAAAGAACTGACAATGACCAAGAACTAAGGTTAATGTCTGGGGATTCCTGATGGAATGTCCTCTGGTCAAGAATGAACAACCTTCCAGTGCAGGCCTCCGTGAAGCCCGGCCATGCTACCATTCCTGTCCTTGAATTTCCATTTCCTCATTAATCTTTCCAATAAAACCCTGTTTCATGAGAAAGCCTAACTCAAACTGAAACACCTCTCAAGTCATATTCAGTGAAAAGTTCCTTAATTATACCTCCTCATTTACTTGTCATTTTTTAATCTGGATCATTTCCAAATAATATTTGAATGAGCTTGGTTAATTGTAAGCCCAATACTGTTCCCAAAATAGTGGATCCTACTGAAAATGTATCCTCCCTCATTCTATCAGAGGCTTGCTTGGGATCACAAAAAGAGAAGGCAGAGGATGATTTGGGGAATTAAGGGAACAGAAAGAAACTACCTACCTCTTATATGCAAGAGCCTTTAAGAGATATGAAAAACAGACCAAACATTGAGCCAGCTCTTTTCCTACTTTTCTACTCTCTTCACTTGATATCAACAATATCATTTCTTTACATAAACTTTTTTTTTTTCTTTTAAACAGAAAAGGCAGCTGTATCTTAGGAAGGTTAAAAATAGAAACTTATTGCTTCTAGGGTCCTCCCATGTGTTGGGAGAAGAATTGCTAAACATGGAAGACTTTTAAAATTCTTTCCTAATTTAAACAATCTGTAACAACAATGAAGTATAGCTTCTATCCTAACCTTCGTTGTAAAAGAAACAAAGTACAACAGTTTTAAAGCTGGTATTCTCTGTGATGTAAAGAAATTCCAAAATTAGGTCCTGTTTTGCGGCTGTGATGAATTTGTGCATTCTTTTAGCACTACGTATCCAAGGAAGAGATTCCCAGAGTGCTTTCTGCACCGCTGAAAACCTACCAAGCAACAGTAAGTAAAAATAAATCTTCACAGCCCATGTGCAGAGCACTGAATTTCCATGATGCCTTTTACAGTAAGCCATTGAACAGCAGGCCCTTAGTCAGAAATTCCAACAGAATTCAAATTTTGCTAACTTTTTTCCAAATCAGTTATTAAGTACCCTGTATATTGTTTTTCATATTCATATGGTGTTTATATTTAAATATCACAGTACAGTTCAACTTCTCAGAAAATCTTTCAAGGTTATATAATTTATGAAGGCTCATATGGAATTCATAAGAAAAATGTAAATTATAATAAGCCTTACCTTTCATTTTTACTCTTAGACATATTGGAATTTACTTCAATTAAATTTTCTAGGTCCTGGTCTCTATAGGAAAAAAAATATTTTATATATATATATGATGTAATTACATACAATTTTAGGAAATAAACATTAGAATAAAAAATTTTTAGATCAGTGCAAAAATTTAAACATAGTCATTTGTGGTCTTTAAGAATATGGACATTGAAAATCTGACATCGAACCATATGTCCTATGCAACTCAAGTATGAGCATGGATTACGTTATGAGAGAGAAATAAAGAACTAATTTTTTGGAAGGTTTGAGAAATCTGGTCTGAAAAGAAACAACTGATTGATATTCACATTCGGCTAACTTTGAATGAATACTTACTTTGCATCACAAAGTACTAACTTGTGTATTTCCACGTGGGTTATCTCATTCAGATCTCACAAAATCTTGCAGGACAGCATATGGGGCTCAGAACAGCTAAGTGAATTTTCCAAGGTCAATTGACTAATTTGTAAAAGAGTCAAGGCTTGAGGCTGAGCCACCTGCCCATCTGAAATCAACTCTTAAATATTTAATTAGAGCCTTCATTCCAGCTTTTTGCATGACAGAAATATGAGAAGTCAACCCCAAATTTGAACAAACAATTCATAATGTGGAGGATAAATGGGACAATTACATTCTTAAATCATGGGCTACAATAATGATTTGACACACCTTCATGAGATACAATATTCTCTGGTATGTTATATATATATATATTAATTATTTATATATTTGCTATTACGCTGGTAGTTCTTAATTTTTTTCCATGAGTTTGGAAAAGCCTTGTCACCAATGCTATTGGTTAGCAGGATGGTTTAGGAGTCAGAGCAAGGCCATTTCTTCTCCTACTTTCTTGGGCAAGTTAGTCAACCTTTCTAAGCTTCCTTTTGTAAACTAGGATAATAATATCTAATTTCATAAGGTTGCAGTGAGAATAAATGAGTTAATGTAAATAAAATTTATAGGCACAATGACTACAGTTGTGACTGAACTGAGTAAGAATAAATAAGTGATAATTAACAGAAGTGTAGTGACACAGCACTAGGCACTATGGATTCCAGAATTCCGAGGGACTATATTTTCATTTTTATTTCTGCCCTAACTTTCACATCTTTAGAGTTAACTCCTGTTTTCATAAATCTCCCTTTTCCAGTCCTGAATAGCAGATTTCAAGTAAGGTTCTTTTACACAGAATCAGTGTAGGGACTCTGACTCACAAAATTAATATTGATAAGGATGAATAATAACATAAAAGTCCTCATATTTATGTGGGATGAGATTTAATACTCCTTTTATATAACATCCAAGCCATCAATAAGTGATAAATATGCTAATTAAGCAGCATTCCATAGCTACACTTAAACCTCACATTTAAAATACTAGCTGCGGGCCTGGGAGATCAGGAGGCAGGCAGGAGGGGCCCTCCAAGAGGAGCGGGAGAGGAGTGGAGGTTCATTGCCACACCCACTCAGTCCTGGGGAGGCTGCTGAGCTCCTAGGCCATCCCCTGCCCTCCAAAGCCCCCTCCAGGCTGCGTGGGTCTTTGGGGGCATAGGACGGAGGCTGGGGAGATCAAGAGAGGCAGGAGGGAGGGGCCCTCCGAGGCTGGAGGAGGAGAGGAGAGGAGGGCATTTGCCCCTCCTACTCAAGCTCAGGAAGCCTGCTGGGCTCCCAGGTGAGGCCCCCTGCTCTCTGAGACCAGGGGTGGGGGACATGCCTGGGCCCCTGCTGTTCCTTGAGCCTAAGCCTCACCCACCACAGCCCCCAGGGCCTTTTCCAGCCCTGTGGGTCCTGAGCATTGGCCCTGCCCACCATCCAAACCTTGCCCTTGCTTAGGCCCTGCCCTCCATAGCCAAGGCCTTTTTTTTTTTTTCTTTTCCCCCCTCCTCTTTTTTACTATTGTGGTACTGATGTACCTTCTGGTTGTTGATTCAATTATCTTTTTATTTTATATTCTCCTAACATATCTGTTAGTTTCCTAGTCTAATGTTATTTTTTACTCTGTTTTTTTCTTTATTTTTTGCTGCCCCAGGTGGCTTGTGGGGTCTTGGTTCACAAGCCCGGGGCCAAAGCTCCTGCAGTGGGAGCTCTGAGTCCAAACCACTGGACTAACAGAGAAAGACCCCAGGGAATATTCACTGGAGTGAGGTCTCACGGAGTTCCGCATCTCAGCACCAAGACCCAGCTCTAGCCAATGGCCTACAAACTCCAGTGTTGGAAGCCTCAGGCTAAACAACCAGTAAGACAGGAACACAATCCTACTCAAAAAAAAAAAAGAAAAGAAAAAAGAGACGGTAAAAAAATATGCCACAGATGAAAGAAAAAGGTATAAACCTACAAGACCAAATAAATGAAGAGGAAATAGGCAATCTACCTGAAAAAGAATTCAGAGTAATGATATTAAAGATGATCCAGAATCTCAGAAATAGAATGGAGGCATGGATTGAGAAAATATGAAAAATGTTTAACAAAGATCTAGAGAACTAAAGAACAAACAAACAGAGATGAACAACACAATAACTGCAATGAAAAATACACTAGAAGGAATCAATAACAGAATAACTGAGGCAGAAGAATGAATAAGTGAGCTGGAAGGCAAAATGGTGGAAATAACTGCTGAGGAGCAGAATACAGAAAAAAGAATGAAAAGAATTGAAGACAATCTCAGAGACCTCTGGGACAACACTAAATGCACCAACATTCAAATTATAGGGGTCCCAGAAGAAGAAGAGAAAAAGAAAGGGTCTGAGAAAATATTTGAAGAGATTAGAGTTGAAAACTTCCCTAACATGGGAAAGGAAATAGTCACCCAAGTCAGGAAGCACAGAGAGTCCCAGACAGGATAAACCCTAGGAAAAACACACCAAGACACATATTAATCAAACTAACAAAAATTAAATTCAAAGAAAAATATTAAAAGCAGCAAGGGAAAAGCAACAAATAACATACAAAGGAATCCCCATTAAGTTATCAGCTGATTTTTCAGCAGAAACTCTGCAGGCCAGAAGGGAGTGGCAGGATATACTTAAAGTGATGAAAGAGCAAAACCCACAACCAAGATTACTCTACCCAGCAAGGATCACATTCAGATTCGATGGAGAAATCAAAAGTTTTTCAGACAAGCAAAGGCTAAGAGAATTCAGCACCACCAGACAAGCTTTACAACAAATGCTAAAGGAACTTCTCTAGGTGGGAAACACAGCAGAAGAAAAAGACCCCCCAAAACAAACTCAAAACAATTAAGAAAATGGTAATAGGAACATACATATTGATAATAACCTTGAATGTAAATGGATTAAATGCCCCAACCAAAGGAGAGAGACTGGCTGAATAGATACAAAAACAAGACCCATATATATGCTGTCTATAATAGACCCACTTCAGACCTAGGGACACATACAAACTGAAAGTGAGGGGATGGAAAAAGATATTCCATGCAAATGGAAATCAAAAGAAAACTGGAGTAGCAATACTCGTATCAGATAAAATAGACTTTAAGATAAAGGCTGTTACAAGAGATAAGGAGGGACACTACATAATGATCAAAGGATCAATCCAAGAAGAAGATATAACAATTATAAATGTTTATGAACACAAAATAGGAGCACCTCAATACATAAGGCAAATTCTAACAACCATGAAAGGAGGAATCAACAGTAACACAATAATAGTAGGGGACTTTAACACTCCACTTACGCCAATGGACAGATCATCCAAACAGAAAATAAATAAGGAAACACAAGCTTTAAATGACACAATAGACCAGACAGACCTAATTGATATTTAGAGAACATTCCACCCAAAAGTGGCAGATTACACTTTCTCTCAGTTGCTGATAGATAGATAGATAGATAGATCACATCTTGGGTCACAAATCAAGCCTTAGAAAACTGAAATCGTATCAAGCATCTTTTCTGACCACAATGCTTTGAGACTGGAAATCAATTACAGGAAAAAAACTGTAAATAACACAAATACATGGAGGCTAAACAGTGCGTTACTAAATAATCAAGAGATCACTGAAGAAATCAAAGAAGAAATCAAATAATACATAGAAACAAATGACAACGAAAACACAATGACCCAAAACCTATGGGACACAGCAAAAGCAGTTCTAAGAGGGAAGTTTATAACAATACAATCTCACCTCAAGAAACAAGAAAAATCCCATAAACAATATAAGCCTACACTTAAAAGAGAAAGAAGAACAAAGAAAACTCAAAGTCAGTACAAGGAAAGAAATCATAAAGATCAGAGCAGAAATAAATGAAATAGAAACGAAGAAAACAATAGCAAAGATCAATAAAACTAAAAGCTGGTTCTTTGAGAAGATAAACAAAATTGATAAACCCTTAGCCAGACTCAACAAGAAAAAAAGGGAGAAGACTCAGATCAACAGAATTAGAAATGAAATAGAAGTATCAACTGACACTGCAGAAATACAAAGGATCATGAGAGATTACTACAAACAACTATATGCCGATAAAATGGACAACCTGGAAGAAATGGACAAATTCTTGGAAAGGTACAATTTTCCAAGACTGAACCAGGAAGAATTAGAAAATATAAACAGACCTATCACAAGTAATGAAATTGAAACCATAATTAAAAATCTTACAACAAACAAAAGTTCAGGACCAGATGGCTTCACAGGTGAATTCTATCAAACATTTAGAGAAGAGCTAACACCCATCCTTCTCAAACTCTTCCAAAAAATTGCAGAGGGAGAAACACTCCCAAATTCATTCTACAAAGCCACAATCACCCTGATACCAAAACCAGAAAAAGATATCACAAAAAAGGAAAATTATACACCAATATCACTGATGAACATAGATGCAAAAATCCTGAACAAAATACTAGCAAACAGAATCCAATAGCACATTAAAAGGATCATACACCATGATCAAGTGGGATTTATCCCAGGGATGCAAGGATTCTTCAGTATACGCAAATCAGTCAATGTGATACACCACATTTACAAATTAAGGAATAAAAACCAAATGATCATCTCAATAGATGCAGAAAAAGCTT